TCCTGTCCTCATACCTGGACCCTTGACTCTACTTCCCAGCATAGCTAGCTGTCCTCCTCTCTGCTAACTAGGAGTTGGGCCCTTCTCACAAGACACAGACATGCCCAGTCTAGTGGCTGGATGGAGGGGGAGACTTAGGATCTGAATGTGGCCCTGTCCCACATGTTGGAATCAGTGGCTCATCCTTCAAGGCCTAGTGCAAATTCTTTCTCCTCTGTGAAGTCTTTCCAGATCTCCCATTAGAATCATTCCCTCCCTGGCATTCCCAGGGCTCATTAGCCATTGAGAACATGACATTTAAATGGCTATTTATGTATTATGTCTGTCTCTTCCAGTAGATTTTTGAGCTTGTTCAGGGCAGAAGTCTTCTCATGCACACACAGTAGGTGCTTCAAAACTGCTAAGTTGAACTGAATGAGCCACAGTCTCTACTTTCATAGAATTCTCAGACTAATTGGAGAGGCAAGTATTCCATTAACTACAAGGCCAGATCTGATAAACTTTAAAATAATGATACAAATAAAATAAGACACAGGAATCACATTGATTTCTGCTTAACAGAATCAGAGAAAAGTTTAAGAACAAGTGACATTCAAAATGGAGATTATACAATGTATACGATTTCAACAAGTGATGATTCAGGGAAGTCAGTTCCAAACTGAAGGAAAAACAAGATCAAAAGTTCAAAACAGGAAAATGAATATCAGGTTCCCGGAAAAGGCAGGTAGATTTTTATTGTTGAGAGTCTAGAGGTCACTGAGAATGGTACTTGAAAAGCAGGTTATGAAAAGCCCTGGGGCCGGGGTGGTGGCTCAGGCCTGTAATCTCAGCATTTTGGGAGGTCAAGGCAGGAGAATCACTTGAGCCCAGGTGTTCAAGGCTGCAGTGAGCCATGACTGCACCTCTGCACTTGAGCCTGGGCAATAGAGTGAGACCCTGTCTCTTTTAGAAAAGAAAGAAAGAAACATCCTGAATGTTGAAGAGTTGCTAACTTTATTCTTATAGGCCATGAAGAGCTGCCAGTGGTTTTGTACCAAAGGCATGATAGGGAAGTTCAGTGTGGCAAGAGCATAGAAGACAGATTGAAGGGAGAAGGTCTATTTGCCAATCCACCTTTTCTTCCCACTCTCACCTGTCACTATTCTAACCCACACCTTCACCTGGACAGTTTCTCTGGCCACTGGCAGATGAAAGGAAGGGAATGAGGATGTAGGGAAGGATGTACAGAGTACAGTGAGTGGGAGCACAGATCCCAAGACCTGGGTCGGGCTTAGCTTCCATCCCCTGCCTGTGCCATCTCCTAGGCGGATAGCGTATGGATGGAAATGGACGATGAGGAGGACCTGCCTTCTGCTGAGGAGCTGGAGGACTGGCTGGAGGATGTGCTGGAGGGCGAGATCAACACAGAAGACGATGACGATGATGATGACGACGATGATGATGACTAGTTGCTATGACAACCATCTTTCAACCCCACTGGTCTTTTCATACTCTCTCCTGCCTTCCTTTGTCCTTCCCTGAGTTCCTCCAGAGAGACTAGGTTATTCTCTGCCATAGAGCTAACTGGGGTCTATACGTTGGGTGCTGAGACCCTGATCCCCCTCATTTGATGAGGAAATGAGCTACTTTTCCCTAGATATCAGCCCAGTTCTCTCTTATCTGACTTCTGTTTCTTATCCCATAACTTACTTGTATCTATTATGTGTCTCTTCCATCACTCTCCATACTCTTTCTTGTGATTCTCCTCTAGCCATATATATGGGCCCCATCTCTGTTCTGTTCCCTCCATCTACGCACAGCTTTCCCCCACTCTCTCTAATCCTGTATCTTTCTGACTGTCCTGTCCCTGGCCAGAAGGAAGGGAGGATAGTGTGTTTGGGACTGTATCTCAGCAATCACTTGTTAATGTATTTGGGTCAAGTGAGAGGCCTCAATAAAGACATCTGGGGCAGCATGAACAAGTGTATGTTGGTGAAATCTCCCCACTATGGCAGGAGGAGGTGGCCTCTGATAGGGGATTCAGATGTGGGTGCCTTGCTAGGGATGAGCTGGGGGACTCTTATAGTGGGGGCTGGGGTTCCTCCAGGCAGCTTTCCCAGAGAAGCCTGGATTATTTATCTACTTCAAGTCGACAAGCCTTTTCTGAACACATAGTGTTTGTCCAGGGCCACTGTTAGGCTCTGGGAGAACAGAGAGTGTCAGGCCTGTCCCTGATCTTGAGCTGATTAGCCTCACCGAGAAGTCAAGACAAGCATACTAAACAATCAAAGAAGAATACAAAGCAATATGTAATTAAGTGATTATGTACTGCTCGATAGCACCCTCTCTGCAGCTCTTATTTGAACATCAAGACAGAGCTCCAATTATACTTCCTTGGTGAAGCCTTTCCAGAGGTGGCCCCTCCAGCAATGACCTCTTCTGAGTTCCTGTTGCACTTCCATTCCAGTACTCAGCATAGTCTATTATTGTTCTTCATTTACATGTCTGTCTTCCCTACTCAATTGTGAGCCCCTTGAAGGCAGGAACCCAAGCTTTTTCTTTGTGTCCACAGGGTCTGACACTCAAAAGTTGTCCTTAATAAATGTTTTTTAAAGGAAGAATAAAGGAAAGAACAGAATGGACTCAGAAGAGAGATCAGAGTGGGCTTAATGACTTCACAAAGGAAGTAAGCCTTTGCTAGGCCTTAAATTGAAGAATGGGATTTGGTTGCAGACAAAGGAGCTGAGGAGGAGACATTTCAGTCAGTGGAAATATCAAGCACTGGCAGGATGTGTTTGTCATATTGGGGGCACAGAGACCAGAGAGACAAGAAGAGAAATTCAAGTTGTGGCCATGAAGCTGGGTAAGCATAATGGGGCTGGGTTGTAGAGCTGTTTGAATTGAATCCTGCCAGCTGAGGAGGCAGGACAAAATTTAATCTGGTAGTGATAAGCAGGATGGGGAGGGGAGATGATAGAGATGCCAGAGGTAAGGAGCCCAACCCATAATCAGTGACTGTTACAATAATTGGAGTGATGTTGGGAGAACATGGACCCAAGTGGTGGTCATGGGAATGGAGAGAAGATAATGTATACAATGGGGATCTCCCAGACCTGGGCCTGCTGGAGGTCTTGGCAAGAAGGACCCACAGTTTTTCCAGAATAGGCCCAGGCTGGGGTAAGCAAAAAGGAGGTTAGGGGGTTGGGGATGGGAGGGCCAAATAGCTAAACAAGCCCATAAAAGATATACATTTTATATTTGAGATGATGCCCATAATTTTGAATATATATATATACACTTTTTTTTTTTTTTTGAGATGGAGTCTCACTCTGTCGCCAGGCTGGAGTGCACTAGTGAGATCTCGGCTCACTGCAACCTCCGCCTCCCAGGTTCAAGCGATTCTCCTGTCTCAGCCTCCCGGGTAACCGGGACTACAGGCACCTGCCACCACACTTGGCTAACTTTTTTGTATTTTTAGTAGAGATGGGGTTTCACCATGTTGGTTAGGCTAGTCTTAACTCCTGATCTCAGGTGATCCACCCGCCTCAGCCTCCCAAAGTGCTGGGATTACAGGTGTGAGCCACCATGCCAAGCCAACATTTTATTTCTCATGGATCAGGTGTAAAGTTGTTGCTGGGAGACTTAGAGGATTTCTAAGTATGGAAAGATGAGACCTGAGATTAAATATATTTTCACTCTCCACAAACAAGTCCAGGAAGTGTTCCTGGAGAAGGTGGCAAGGGTGTAGAAAGCAGAAACTATGTATTCATTCCAACTTGTCGCTATTTAATAAATGTTTAATAGTAGTATGGGCACTAAGCTAGTATTACAATAATATTGTGGAGCTTACTGTCTAGCATAGGTCAGTGGAAGGCCCCGGTCTAAGTAATAGCTCCTATTTTTTAAGCACCCATCTGTGCCAGTCCCTAGAGACTTACTATTTCTGAATCTCAGAAGAACCCTCAGAAATAGGCATCGGCACCCTCATCTGACCGGTGAGGGCACTAAGGCTTTCAGACATAACTTGCCCAAGGAAAGGGTGGAACTAGCATGCAGCCCAAGGCCCCCGGGTCTTGTTGCCTCCAGACCTGAGCCTTTCACTTAGAAACTACATGAGTCTCAAAGATGGGTCAACGAAATAGGTTTTGTCCCTACAACACAGAGCAAACATGATATATACAAAGGCAAATGATTAGGGTGTGACAGGGAATGCTGGGGAGAGGAAACAGCAGAGAAAGGCTATGAAATCCAGAGCAGCAGGAACTTGAGCCTCTTCTAGGAGTGGTGTAGACCTGAGAAAGGAGGGGCTCATTTGAGGTTTCTGGAGGAGTTTCTGCCAGGTAGGAACTGAGGCGAGATGGGGTGATCCTGGAAGTGGCACAAACACTGAGGGGAATCCCCCAACCTGGGCCTGCTGGAGTTCTTGGCAGAAAGGACCTACCCAGGGTCAGACTTCTTTCCAGGGCCAAACCCTGCCCAGAACTGAGACCAGACTCCTTAAGCTATAGAGATGGGGGTGAAAACAGATGCTTCTCCAATTCTTCCTTTCCTCTTTTCAGTCTGGCTGAGAATCTGGGGGAGGAAAGTCCCTGGGGTAGAGGGGAAGTGAGAGCTGCCACATTGGGCCTGGGCAGAGGGGCAGAGCTAGGAGACAGAGCTAAGTGTGGCTTTGCAAGTTGTCTATATTTGCATGCTGAGCTCACTGCTGCTCTTTTTCTCCCCAGAAAATAAAATTACATCATGGTAGGGGGAAGGCAGGAGTGGGGCATGTTTGGGAAAGGTGAGAGGAATGCAAGAGGGCCTGCAGGCATCATCCTGGAAAGAGAAGATCCAGGGCTCCTCAAGACCCCATGTGGCCCAGACCCCTCACTCCCAATGTGGATAAGTCTGATCAGTCATTTACCACTGCGCCCCTGACCCTTAAGGCAAGGAAATAAGTTTTTACAAATATCAAAGCCAGCAGCTAAGAGAATCCAGCCCCCAAAGACTTTCCAAACCCCTAAACCGAACCTACTCTGTGCCTCCCAGGGGTCCTAGGCCCCGTGGTCATCCAAAGGTCAAAAGGGGAGGAGGGTGCCCTACTGGGTAATAATTAAATATGAGAATTGTTTCGCAGTTCAGGGGGAAGAGACCATCTCTGCTCCAGCCCTTCACCCAATTCTGTCCCCCATCCTAGGAGTCTTCCAGAACCCCAGCCCCTCTGTCCCC